CCCGCATCCCCGGGGGCGGCCTGCAGAACACCGGGGCGCTTCGGAGAGCAGGAGAATGTCAGACTGGGCACAAACACCACCCGAAGCCCTCCCCAGGGCACTCCCATGCTTGGGCACACTGTGATTTCAGAAACTGTTCTGGTATTTCACCTGCAGATGAACATTTAACAACTTGTTAAGCGAGGTACAGGGCTCATGAGAGCACAAGGTACCAGCTTCGCACCCCTTGTAAAACAGCAGCAACTACCAAGCAAAGCTGCATTTATTTCACAATTATTTTTTCCAAGATGGTCTCTAAAGTATTGGATGCCCAATGCAAGAAGCTGAAATATCTTGGCCTGGACACACAAAGCAGCCTACTGGATGCCTGACTAGCTGGGATTCACATCCACAGGCAGAATTTAAAGCCAAAGGTAGAAAAATTTCAAAAGTTTAACCCTATATGTACCCCAAGCCTTTCTGAAAAAAGGCATTCATAAGATGAATTGATTGATTGATTTCAGGCATCCACAAGCACTGGTTTTAGAAAAAGGTTTCCATGAAGAGCAAGGAAAAAACCCTGACACCAAGTAGTTGCAGGTTTTAACAAAGCAGCAGGAAGCATTAGCCTTTCCAAACACTCAGGTTGCTGAGATGTATGTGTCACAAGGTGCTTGACGTGTTTTCAGCAACATCATTTCCCCTTCCTCTCTCCATGTTGGAATTGTGCCATCCCAGGCAACACCATCAGGTCCTTAATGAGCATCTGGTGTCATCCCACAGGCGATGCAAATGCCTCCATTTAGGTGAGCTCGCCCATCTCCTCTTAAACCAGCATTAACTGAGCAGCAAGATGATGCCTGCAAGATTCACACAACCATTCCCCAGGGGTCTCAGGGCAAGGTCCATACACACCTGTGGACAGCAAAGCTCACAGTCACTAACCCTACCTGGCTGTTTCACATACAGGCAAGTGGCACACAGGGAGCACGGGCCTGTCCCCTGGCTCTCCGATTCTCCGTGCAGGAGGCTCTAGGATTAGATGCTGTCGTTGCAGGTGGTCACAAGGCGTCAACGTATCTAGCATTTGTGCCAACCTGATTCTGCCCAGACTGCAGGCAGTCGTGTTCTTACGAAGGACCCACTGAAATATTGCAGTTTGAAAGCCAAGATGCAGTTTCTAAATTAAAATGAAGTGCTTCCATATTCTTTGAGAGATGAAATCTATCCATTTCATATTCTTTCTCACTCCTTAGTATTCCCTAATGTTTTCCTCTAGCCTAGCACATCTTCCACCCACATTTCACCCTCTCAAGCAACCTATTTTCAATTCTCCTAAGAGCTACTTCACAAGTGAGCATTTCACAGCATGCATCAGGGTAAAAGGAGAAAATATTCCCAGTCTCTCAAGTAAACTTTTTTATAAGCCCTCTGTGTGAAAAGAGTAAGTTTTGTTTCTTGATGGACTGCAGTTTGGAGTCCCTAGATTCCTAAGCAAAATGTTTCTCCTGGGTGCTGGTTTTCCCCACCAGTTGCTGTGGGGCTAACGGGAAGGAAGCTACAGCCATGGTGTGAGAAAACAAGAGGAACAAGGTCTCTGACTGCCTCTCATTACTGCTGCTCCAAGCTCAAAAGCCAAAGCATGACAGGAAGGGAGGAAATCTGCAACAGGGCTTGTCCCCTGCTGTGGGAGAAGTCAACAGCAGGTTGGCCTCTTCTGATTCTTCCAGGTTTCTCAAGCCACTCAGGACTATATGGTCTCCTGGCGCATGTGACAAAAGATCAGCATCCCTCTCTCTCCTTGATGTTGATAGTTACAAATGCTGGAGACAAACTTCTGTTGTGGCACTGGCAAACACACATCTACACTCGCAATCACTTTCATGGAAACCTGGGCTTTGGCATCACAAGAAGCTGTGACGTTGTAAACCTTAGCTATATAACACAGGCACTTCACTCAAGGCATTTAAAAAAGAACCTGGAAAATAATTCCCTCCCGATAACCCAGTTAAGAAATGCAATTCATGGCCATCCCCTCTGAAAATACCTTCAAAATGCCATTCAACTCCTCCATTTCACAGGGGTGAGAAAGACAGAAAATGATTTCCCTGCCATTACTCCCGACCTGTGCCTGCCCCCCGAGCGCCACTGGCCAAGCAGAGCCCCAGAAGCCCCTTTTCTGTTTTTAGAGGATTCCCAGGCCTTTCCAAACTCCCTGCAGAGCTCTTAGGCATCTCCCACCCCCTCACACAGGGTAGTGCAGTTGCATGCGCTGCTCGTGCAGCAATGTATGTTGGGCAGGGTTTCCATGTATACTGCATTACAACGTGGTCACAATAGTTAAATACCACTGCATATAAAATCAACAGATAGGAAACAGCATTTTCCACCTCCCATCATTGGTATTTAACAATGGCACTCAAGAAACTTCAATGTATTACTTGTTTTGCAAATATTTGTACCTAAATCATTGGAAATGCAGTCTTATCCTAACTCTTCCAATTCTTTTACTTAACTCCAATGCCATTAGGCAGTCAGTCAGCAACGCGGAGCCAAGCTGGATAGAAGCGGCACGGCGCCCTCCTTCCCTGGCATCGTGCAGGCCAAGGCTCTCTGCTCCCTCCCGCCGGGAGGCTCTAGGAGAGCAGAAGCAGCTGGCAAGAGCAGAGAGGATCTATCCAGAGGCCATCTATAACTCTCAGGTTAAATATTTCTCCTTAAACAGTAATGCGTTAGTACTGCCTACATACACTGCTCCCAACTACACAACATAAATAGCTCAATTCCTACTGCTCTAACCTGTGCAAGGATTGGAATCTGCGCTTGATAGCAAAGCAGGGAGGTGCAGCAGGGCAGCAGTGCTGGGCACAGTTAGGGCTTCAATGGAAAACACTCATCCCTCAACAGAGGGGCGTCACCTTCCTGATGGTCCTAGGGCAGTGCTGGCACTGGACACAACTGGGTCCTCTTGAACAGTTTTGTTGGAAATCATTGATGTAGATTTCACATAAAACTGAAATTGAGATTGCAGTTAAAAATGCATCTCTAGTCCTTGAGAATAGTGGGGAAAAAGGAGGATGCAATACACTGCCTACACAGTATCTCAAAGCCTTGCCCTGTTAAGAGTTGAATTTCAGAGCAGATGCTGCATTTTTTAAACTTCACAAGCACTTACTCAGTCTTTCCATTTCCATTAAGCTAATGAAAATCTGGTCACTAAAACTGAGATCACATGTTATTTCCACTGATAAAAAACAGAAAAATAGTGAAAGTTTAGTATTTAAAATTAGAGCAAAAAAAAAATCTCTAAGATCTATTCTGTCCCAAGTTTGACAGGGACTAGCTCTGCTTTTTAAAGTTAGAAAATACTTCAAGTTTATGCTTACTTTTAAGCAGTCAGGTAATCCTACTAAGCCAAAAAAAAAAGTAAGAATAAATAAAGGAAAACCACAGATACACTTTAATTATGTTTACAACCTTTAGTAAATAAGGAGGCAAATGTCTGCTAGGACTTCAGAGTCCAGCTTATAAGTAAATAAATAACCCATAATGAAACACAGCAAAGGCAGCTTCTTTGCAAAGGCAGGAGGAGCAAATTAAACTAAAGCTTGCCTAGAAATATTCATTTTTCTAGTGCTGTAAGATTTCATCCTTGTATCAAAACTATTGTGGTATTTATTCTGCTACAGGTTTCAATAGTTGAAAACAAACAAAAGTTTTGGCCTTGATTTCAAGTAAAGAACAAGTACTCTACCTCCTGAGATAGTAGAGAAAACATGAAAAAGGGAATTCAAGACTCTAAAACCAGAAGGCAAATAAAAAACATTACTTATTTATTGCTTAAATCTCATGACTTCTTAATGCATAGGATTGGAGATAATTGTCTTTTCTCTACAAGAAATAGATTCTTCTTCCCTTATTTGTGGTACACATAAAAATTACAGTTCAAATGTAATATATAGAAGTTCAAGGTAATTAATTATTTATAACAGAGATGAATATGCTGGTATCCTTTACATTTATGAGAACACAGTGATGAACTGAGTGTCTGAACCTGAACCGACTTAAAATACATCAGGAGTTCAGGATGTATGCAATAAGGAAGCAGATCTATCACAAGCATCCACTAAAATAATTAAGTCACAAAAATCTCAGCCACATAACTAATAACAATCCTTGAAAGATATGCTAAGAACATAAAACCTGAAAAAGACTTTTTTTTTTTTTTTTGCACAATTACAGATACAGTACTGTCTTCAGAGTCTAAAGGAAAAGAGCTCTGCTTTGCTGGAGACACAATCCATGCATGTCCAAACTACTTATGATCAGTCCTGTCAAAAAAACAGAAGAATTTTTCCTCATTTTATCCCATGTCTCTCCAGTCTCCTTTAAAAATGTCTAACCAACAAAAAGAACTTAAGTAAAAATAAATAAATAAAAAGACTATTTTCCTGTCTAGACAAGATATTGATCATCCTCATCACTATATGTACAGCCATGCGGTCACCCTTGGGAAAACTCTTTTACCTTTAAAGGATACATGTTTTTGAAGTTTCAGTAATTTCAATTTGATGGAGTTATCTGAAAGTTATTTCAAGTTTTCACACTTTTTTTCCCCTCCTAACAAAACATGGCAGACACTAGAGCTTGGTAGTTGTTTATCCTAGGCTGTAGGTTTTGAGACCGATGCTGTAGGAGTTTTCCAGCGACTTACCCACTCCTCCTCGTCGTACTCCGAATGATGAGGTATGGAGTCCTGTCGCTTAAGCTGAGCGGGGGAATCCTGATGTTGGGAATCCCCACCTTCTTCCGCGCCGCTTTGGGGCGCGACGGGCTTCTTGAGGACGCAGCCAGGCCGCGCTGTGTATAGTGCTAAAAGGGCACTTCTCACCAGCTGATCCTTGAAGGCGTGCACGAATAGCTCTGTCTAGGAGAGCAGGAGAGCGGGAGGTTAGCGAAAGAGTGCCACATGGCAAGATAGAAACGAGAGCCCTGAACGATACTTTGAGCAGCCTGGATGGGCATTTCAGGGTAGCCCAGGAGACAGGGAGCAAAGCAAAGCACTGAACAGCACGGAGCAATTCCAGGGTTTGGGGGATATTGTCACATTCCACAATCCCCTTGCTCTAAGGACTGACATGCAAGCACAGAATCTGTTACAAACATCATCTGTTTACACAGTCCTGCTCACTCATTCTCCTCCCAGACCTTGCCTGCAGGGACAAGTCTCTACCATCACTGGGTTTAAGAGTACCCAGCTACTGCTCCAGAGTTTTCTAACAGGTGTCAGATAAAGTGTGGTCAATAAATTGGTGTTTTTTTTCTTTTCTTCATACTGAACACATAGTATTCCATATTAAGTTACACTCAGTACAGTTGACTGCAAAGTGTCCGCAAAAGCAGTGTTCTCAGGGACAAAGTATAGTAACTGCAGGTATACACCCAGATAAAGCAGGTTTATTTCTTTAAATAAAAAAAACTTTGAAGTAGTTTTTCCAGGCTCTCTGAAGACCGTATTTAATCAGCAATCAACCATTTTTACAAGTTTTTCTGTTGACTGTGTAGCTGGAAGTTTGCTTTTCTTCGTTTTGAAAATCCTCCAGACTATAGACTATTCCCACTGCTTCCCCCTCCCTCAAATACAAAAAACAGTAATACCCAGGCTTTCTGCATATGGTTTTTTTTAACATCTCTAGACAGTATCTCTAGATAACAACGTAAACTGTTCTACTATTAATTTTCAAAGTCATCGTTAGGCCACAATCAAGTTTTGATATCAAATGCCGTATCTTGTAAACAGATGATGTTGATAAAGAACAGTATAACATTAGTCCCACTGAACCTCCTTCAAAGGGCTTCTGCAGCCCCCCAAATAAACAAGCTCCCTTCAGACCTTCCAGGTTTCATATGCAAAACCGCCACTAGAAGCAGCAGAAAAATCAGCTTCTATCTGCCTGCAAATCTTGCTCCTGGCCTCAGCGCTCCTTTTGTCTGTTCCTGTCCCAGCCCTTTTTCCTGAGGCTTGCTCTGCTCACAGACCTCTCTCCTCCTCCCGCACTTGCTCTGATCCTGCCTCCACCCCTGCAACAGCTCACTGACCACAATGGCCTAAACACTCCATGACTTCCTCAGAACTTCCTTGCTGGGCCCTTCAGGATGGAGTCCGGGCAGTCCCGAGCAGCCCAAGAGGACAAGTTCAGGTTCCTGCACCTCAGTGCACATCTGCTATAGAGAAAAAAAATCTATCTGACATGGAATCAACATGGAAGCAAATCTCTTTTTTCATACAGAGATGGAAGTGTTTCTGTAATTAAATTGTATTTAGGGATTGCATTGGTTTAACAAACTAGATTTTAACTACATTTTATTGCTGCTAAATACAGCTAAATTTGCAGAACATCACCCATTTATAAAATTCTATTGACATCAGAAAACAAGTATATACAAAGAAATGCAAACTTGGCAAGTTCTTTTAGATATTTGACTAAAGAATATTTCTGCAAATAAAGATAGGCATAGCTGGAAAATGAATTTATCAAACCTTCTGCAAGCTGCAAATGATGATACACTTGTCAACAGCTAAAGGTTTCTTTAATCAATTAGCACAAACTGTTGATAAAAGACACAGGAAAACACTATAGCAGATTCCAAATCATACATGGAGAAGCAGAACCATGCCCAACATGAAAGGATAAAATAAGCAGAATTATTCAATTTCATTTTCTGGGCAGCCTGCCTCCCATTTCTAATGAAATATTTGTCTTTATTGTAATTGACATCTTGTACAGCTCAGATATACTTACTAATACCTAACATTTTTACAAAGAACAAAGTGCTCTCCACATCAGGCTCAACCTCACCTTAAAATAAAAAGCCTAGACAGCATGCTTTTGTACCCAGAGACATTTCATCATCATGGACATCATTAATTCCTATTTCTTCAAACAGCCCTTTGATTTTTAAATGTGTATGAAGTGAACCTGAATAGATTTCTCTCTTTCACGAAGGGTGGGAGGGCAGAAGCATCTGTAACGTGCCAAGAGTACAGGCGGGCATCACGTAGCTTTACCCGAGGACGCTCCAACTCTGCTGAAATCCAGCCCAGAACTCCACTCGTCCTGCTCCTCCCTTGCTCTGCCAAGTGGGATACATGGACAGCTTGCTGGGGGTTCCTAGAGCATTTGGGAGCTCTGCAGGAGCCAGGGCTGCCTCTGCGGAGCCCCTTGTGCAGCTGCCGGCTCTGCAGGGGCTGCGGTGCCCGCAGGCCGCAGCGCCTCTCCCGGCTGCCCCCGCAGGCTCCTCTGCAACGGGGCCCTCACCAGCCACCGCACATGGCTCCTGCTTTCCTTGTCGCCCAGACACTTGACAAAGCAGCTTTACTTTTTCCACGGCCAGCTAAAATGGCCACCTTGGGCCGAGCGCGGCGCTCCAAGCCAAACGTGTCCGCGTGCTCCGCGCTCGCCACAGCGCGCACAGGGGCCGCCGCCTCCCGATGGCTGGACACGCACTCAGGTGATTCCTGACAGCCTTACTAAGTCACACCGATACCACATTACAGAAAACACAGCATGTGAAGCCACAGGAAAGCTTTTTTCAAGCCCTTTGGTCACAGCTATGATGCTTAGTATATTCTTAGGATAACACAGCTTCAATGTCCTTCACAGGCTTTAACTAATCCTCAAAATCACTCTGTGAGACAGGTGGAAAATATTATCTTCTTTAACTTAGAGCTAAGAAAACTAAGACAAGGAAGTGCCTACAGCTACAGAGGCAAATAATATATGAAAGATTAGAATTTGAGACTTCCTGGCCCCAACTTTCAAGCTTCTCCCTACAGATTATGTTGCCATTTCTGGTCATGCTACTATTCTAAACCTTATACGCAAGCCTGGCTTCAATCTTCTAAGCAGTAGCATGAAGTATCACAGAAAGCAAAATAAAATAATAGTTTATCCTACAGATTCTATAATAATCTATTTTTGGCAAACCTCGGTATACAGCCATTAGAGGATAACATAGGTACATGAAAGAAAATTTATTATTCTTTCAAATGAAGTTTATAGGTCCATGGTTGTCTATTACCTTTTACATAGAAAGCCTAAAAAAAAAAGGCTTTTTTCTGATGGCAACATTTTGAAGCTTATTTTAACAAGGCATACTTAACACTTCTTGATGCTGTGGAAGTCAATTTATGCAGAAAGAGACAGCAGTCAGGGATTTGGCTATTCCATTTTCCATTGCAGGGAAGATTTGAATCTTACTTTTTCTGAAAGCATCTTTAAAGAGTTCTTCAAGCTGTCTGGAGAACGCTGGCTTGCAGAATTAAGCAGCAGGTCTGCGTGGCTTGATATGAGAGGTTGTAGATGATTGATGTTGCTGAGAACTTCTTTTGCCTTGGCTGTGTTTTCAGGTGAATAATAAATACACTGGTACCTGGTACTGTAATAACAGAGAAACGGTTGCATAACGTCAAAATGGTTTCTGCTATTAATAACAATGATCACGTACAAAAAACTTTGCCACTGATATTGCAAGAATGGCAAGATACACAGTCTTCACTGATGTAACTTCTTTCTTTTAGGTTGAAAAGGAGTCCTTGCTTGAACATCAGAGGACAGTTGCCTGCCCATCAGTAGACACTTGAATAGTGCCATTCAAGCTATTTTTTTTTCAGTGCACTGTATGATCATCTCAAAATGGAATTTTATTTCTATACATATAATTCTGAAGAAAACTATTCAACTAGTTCACGTAACACCCACAAAGAGCATAAAACTCCTAAATCTTCCATCCAAACTCTGCTGTCACACTAGCAGCTGTCTTATGAAGCGCTCCAAAAGGGGCCATTCGTCATTAAATGATCAAGGGCCTCTATGATGTTTCCACTAGCATCAGAGCCCTGTCCAGCACTGGTAATAGCAACAGAGCTATTTCCAAAAAGGTCCATACCCAATTTGCAAGAAAAACTCCAAAAAAGGGTTGCGAAACAGAGCTAATTTTCACAAGAATCCCCCAACACATACTGCAAACTTGCTGCTTGCCTTTTGACTGTTCAGAAATGACTGCACTTGTACCTGTGTGACTGCTTCTCCTTTTGAAAACTTATCCCTTCCGTTCCAACGTTTATTCGTTAAGCAATACCTTTTATTCCGTTATGCAAAAATCCCACTTTTAAACAGCATGCACGCTTACTTATCCTTTGCTGCAAAGTACATCTTCCAATGTGTCACTCACATGCTCTCCTTCCCTTGGCCCTGCTTCACCCCTTCAGGGAAAGTCACCCAAGTCTGCAGTTTTAGACTTAGAATGTTAACACGGAGGAAAAACATTGGATAATGTATTAAACCCAGGTTCTAACTATTCTATGGCTTTGCACTCTGGGTCTGGCTCAGCAGCATGAAGTTTAAACATGATTTTAACACGGCTTCACTTTGCTGATCACTCAATGGAAAGCTCAAGGAACAGGAAAAAGAACCTAGCGAACTTCTGGATTTAAAAAAAAAAAAAAAAAAGCCAGATGTCAGGCCATTCCAATAGGCTGCACAGGAAATGCTGAGCCATCCACACCTTGTAATTACTTGTATTTTTTAATTATGTAAGCAACCCACTCCTGCAATATGACCAGCAACACAGCAGCCTATGAACTCCCTAGTTGCTTCTGTAGCCCCTGCAGATGGAGCAGGGACAACATCTGAGCAACACCCTCTACACTAACTGCAGCAAAGACTTACTCTGAAAAGCCCGGATACTGTACGGCCCCAAGTGATGACCTCCAATTCCTCTTGCAGGCTTCTCCCTCCCTCCTCCATCCAGCAGCTCCTGCAGGCGGAATTGGGCTCGCGCTCTGCCAAGCTCACCCTGCACGCACCCTTCTCTGGGACTCCCCCAGCACTGAATTCCCAGGTCTTTTCCCCTCTCACAGCTCTAAGCTCAAATACTGCAGCAGAAAAGCTACAGACAAGGCTATAAAAAAGAGGGAGAGGGATGCTAGTGTGGGTAGTACTTCTCTTGACATCTGTTGCAGCTTTTAAATAAAGGATATTAGCAAAACAGAATGACTCTTTCTTCAGAATGAGTTTGCTAAAGGAAAAAAGAAAAAAGGAAAAAAACACTTCTCCATCAGCTGTCACTGGCTAATTTTACCATTTCCTGAATTCCAGAAAACAGAGAGCAGAATATGAGAGCAACTAAAAGGGTGTTTTTGGTTTATTTTTGTTATTGTTGTTTTGTTTGTTTTTGAATAAAATTGCAAAGAAATTAAGTAATCCACTTTCAGAGATAAAATGCTTGGGGATATCTGAGGTTCCTACTAATGCTGTCTCTCAGATTAGTCTAGGATTTTCTGTGGCCTTACCTTTCATGAAAAGTCATTACTTATTCCAAATTCCCTGAAAGGAGTTTCCTTATAAATAAGCAAGTGTTTTTCAGAACTTGCAGCCACAGACAGTTACAGTACATGAGTAATATTACTGAAAAGAGAGCTCTTGATGAAAAGGATGGATTTTTTTTTTCTAAATGTGTTCTAATATAAGCCCAATAAAGAGAACTACAGATAAGAACCACCTCCTACACTAAGGTAAAGGCACTGTGGGAAGGTCCCATCTGTGAAATCAACAACACTATGAAATCTACCCCTGATATGTAAAATCTAGCACTGGTTATGTATCTTTTGATAGAGTCTGTACCTACGTCTTCTGGGTCAAGTCTCAAATTTGTCAGTAAGCATACTGTCTAGATACTGTACCAGCATTACCTATCTACATGTTACTTTCAGTGGCCATTTCAGTCCATTTCATTTTCAGCTTTAATGGTGGACATGCAATTTTAAAAGAGATTATATTGAATACAGCTGCAATTTAAACTCTAAATTAACAAAGTTTTTGCACGAGAACAAATACTGCAATATGCTAAATGTCTAATTTTTAATGACACTCAGTGACTCCACTCCTGCTGTTAATCGAGTCATTTGTGTGACTGACTTAAATTGTCACCATCTGGGACTGGGTTAAAAATCTTTCAACACTGAACATTTGACCTAGTGTTTTTCATAGCAGTAACTGGGAACGTTAAAATCCAGAACACAGTTAAACTGCACTCAGCCAGAGCAGCTCCCCACAAGCCACCTTGCCATTATGTGAATTACTGAAGCTACCAATCAAGGGATGTGAAATTTAAGCATCACATATGTAATGTCTAAAGCGAAGAGTTACAATCAAAACTTAACTGATTAGAATAAACACAGACACACAGTTCGCTGCGTCAGCAAATAAAGCTGAATCCTGAAATCAGTGCTGATACTGTGAAAACAGGCCCAAGGCAACGAGGCGCAGAAATTTCACAGGATTTTTGTATTCCCTTGAAATGTGAACAACTGACTACTAAGGAAAATGAAGTGATGTTATAGGTTCTATCTAGTCTATCTCTGTTTACGAGTTCTGGGTCTCCCTGAACCCTGGAGCGGCTTCTTGTTCTCCAAGGACAGTCCTGTCCCGCTGCTCCCTGCTCAGGGCTCCCCCAAGCCCCTTCCTTGCCCAGCCTCAGCCCTTCTCTGAGGCACGCTCATGGAAATGCTTCAGACAAGTCTGCCCAGAGGACCCAGTGCCCCAAAAAAATGCCATGAGGAGATTTTTATAATCAAGGGAAGAGCAAGCAAATTCTGCAGTTTCTCAGTGCAACTTCCAACAACCTTAATACACTGATTTTAGCACTGGTGCAAAAACATTCATCTCCGCCCATGTCTCATCTCTCACATACACACACGTACCTGTACACACAATAGACGTAAGGAAAGTGGCTAAAGAAAAATATCTCCCTGAAAAGGTCCTGTACATGCCAGGCTGCTACTTCCTCTTGAGAAGAAACTACAATTAAACACAAATCACTACTATTTCAGTATTTCTGGACTGTTCTATGATCAGTATCATTTCCAGTTCCTTAGAGAATGTAAATGGATCGAAGATGATGAAAGACAGTAATAGAAACCCTGAAGACCTCAGCTTTAATAAAAAATCTCTAGTAACGAGCACGTTAGTAAAAGAGCATCCCTCATCTTGATCAAACAAAAAGGTCTTTTTAGACAACTCGGCCTCTGAACAAGCAATTACAAAAAGCTATTTCAGCTTTCAGTTTGTGCCAATTTAAAGCAGGAGTATTTCTAAAGGGTTTGTTAAAAAGCAATGTACAAAACCACAGAACCTAACAGTTTCTAGGATGCCCCCATTTTCCCTGATATTAGCACGTGGACATTAAACATCTCATCCTCATAAGCTTACGTGTTTTGGCTAAAGGATAAACCATCAAATTAGTTTTGAAACAAGAGAAAGTCTTTGGTGTACCTTGAAAGCAATTTCTGAACATGTAAAGTAGTGAGGCCTGCGTGTAACTTCCAGAATGTCCGACAGCAACACTCCCACACAGCCAAACTCCAAATATAATGTCTACACTGGGCTATCTACACTGATGAAAAGACAAGTTCTTCCAACTGCTGACGTAATCCATACAAAGGCAAGTGAACAGAAGACCTAACCTGAACAAGTGATTTACTTTGTCTTCGACTGTACTTTGTCTTTGCCTGAACGGGTTATAAAACAACGGACCTGGCTTCAGGTAACATTCCAAGAAGTCCTCTCTAACTAAAAAAACACTTTTTTCTTCTTATTCAAGATGCTATTTCAAGAAGTTTATCATATATATAAAAAAACTACATATATATGTATATATATATGGCTTGCTTGGTGGTTAACAAATGAAAAGAGCCGCAAAAATGCTGCATTTTTATTCCATTACTGCACCTTCTTTCCTCTGCAAAAAAAAAATATATTCCATGGAACTGCAAATGTTTCTGACTTATCTTCAAACTGATATATATACAACTTACCATGTATGCTTCTGTTTGATAAACTTTCCTCAAAACAGACATTTCACTGGTTACTGCAGTTACCAAACTGCAAACACAACTACACTCTTGAAAATGGTGCACCACCATCCTTAAGCTTTCCTCCTATGTACTAATTTCACAAGTACAGGTTTGAGCAAAGTAAGGAAGGCCAGGTGTACTTTCTCACACAGGGACAGTGTGAATATTTCAATAAATTGCTTTGATAATAAGCCTGAGGCTCGAAGGTACGCAAGACTGTCACATGACTGACAATGATGCTTGAAAGCTAACAGGACCTTCTCAGACTGTCTTGAAAAATGATCTTTTTCCACATCCTTCTTTAGGGTTTCAAATCATTTAGCCAAGAGGAAACAGAAGCAAAATCTGCATTTTTTTTCTCCACTATTCACTTCATATTCTGACTGATATCTCAAGGTGTCACTTCTCCCTTCATCCAAAGCTTCAGAAAAGCTGCTTCCATTGTAAAACAGAAAATTTAAATTGTAAAAGCTGCCCTTAGATACATCTAAGTGGCCTCCTTATGCCACTTAAGCATCCTTATGCAGTTAAACAGGTAAGCATCTAAAGTAAAGTTGTCATTGCACAATGGAAAACAAAAATCCTCTGTGTTAAGAACACAAATAGTCCTTTCCAGTGCTTAAAATGCTCCTGCTCTTGAATATTCAAATAAGTGAGATGATATTCGGAGCCTGCTTTATGCCTTCCACGGGAAGGTCCTGCATGGGCCCAAAGACAACTAAAACACACGCTGGGTTTCTTCTTCGCTGACCACGGCAGCGGACAGGAGGTGAGCTTTGGAGGCTCCTTCCTTTCTGCTTCGGGACAATTCAGAGACTATAACTCCTGAAGAAATGGTCATTAAATCTACTTTGATTTCCTTTTATTTCCATGGCTTCCAAGTGGTATGAGCAAATATCATCTTTTCCACCTATACTTTACATTTTCTCAAATCATTTATGTCATTGAGAGGTTAATGCCAACTTCTGCTCAACTTTTAAATCAACAATAGATTTTTATAATGTCCCATTTTATTCTTTAACATATTCTGCCTGTGAAGCTTTAAGCATTTAACATAATAGAACTAATTTTCTACTGGCAGACATGAGGAATTAATCTACCATATATAAAGCACTTCCCCCATTCCCATCCAAAAGCTTTGCCACTGACTGCAGGAGTTTGGCACAATTAGTCCAAGGGTTGAGCAGTCGCAGCTCCTGGTGAGGTCTGAGACAGTTTGGGCTGCCTAGGACTTCTGGAACAGCCACAGCAATACATACATACCTCAAAGCCTTAGCTAACAAAACATACAAATAACACTTTAGGAAAGGTTTAGCAGTTAACAGTACTTGAGTATAGTGCTGAACTGAACTCTTAGTGATGGCCTTTACCTTTTCTTATTCTGACTTTCTGAAGAATAAGAAAAATAATATTTTCTTATCTACTTCACAGGGCTGTCAAAAATGAATATGCTACCTCAAGCTACTGTTTGTTTACTGAAAAATTTTCTGCAGATACTTTCTACTTAGCACAAATATTGCAGAAAAGGTGTCTCATTTTGAACAGCATGTTTTCAAGCAGAGGTATTCCTCAGGCTCTCTAGAAAATGGGAAACACCACAATTGCTTGCATTCAAAATAATCCTTGCCATTAAAAACATAATACTTCAAATTTGCAGTCTAGCAAAGCAGGGAAGATGAAGGGGCTACTTTATGAATGAATTCTTATCCGGTCTTACTAGATATTGTCTAATGCACAGAAGAAATTGCTTTATTATTCAGTGAGCATGTAAACACATCAGCGCAGTTTTCCTTATATATTCTCAGTTCCTTCTAAACATACGTACTTTCGCCTTTCTGCCTCAAATTTAGCCAGCAGTTTCCAGAGGCCGCCGTTCTTAAAGCCCTGACAGTGCGCGGCCGGGGCTCCCACGGTGACCACGTCGTACACGGCATCTGCAAGGGGAACACACAAGCGCTGAGATCCGCGTCCACCTGCGCCCGAGGCACAGCCACCCCACGAAAATAGGGCAACAAGGGTATCATTTCACTAGGAATAATTGAGAAGCTGCATCTGGAGCGGGCAAAGAGATAATCAATCTCTCCCCACAGCTGCCTGGGCACCTTATACCTGCCTGATTTATTGCTACCTCTAAATCACACGCCACAGCATAGAACAATATTCTAGCTCTGCGGTTTACCAACTTGCAATGTAAATTGGCCCTTTGTGTATTTCACTTTATTACCTCTTCTATTATTTAATATGCAGTCATATTGCAGGGCACAGAGTCATGCATTTTAGGGTCAAAACGAACCATTATGATGAGGTGGTCTGACTGTGGGAATAGCACAGGCTGCCAACTGCAGCCAGGGGTTTCTGCATCTAGAGCATAACTTCTGGTTGAGCAAAGGCATCACTCTGTCTCCTTTTCTGAGAGAAAGCACGTGAAAGCACAAAAACAAGCATGAAAGACCATGCATGAGTGTGTGAACAAAATCTAATCTTGATTTAAAGACTTCAAACAACAAATTCACTGCAGTCCCACAGAAATTGCTCCAAAGATAAAATCAGCCTTACTAGTAAAGGTCTACATTTCATTCCTATTTTGAATTTGTTTGGTTTTCTCTCAGATCTAACTATCCTTTTGCTGCTAAATTGAAGGGCTCTATTCCCTGAGATTCATTTATCTGGGATATCTGTGTGCACAGAACGAGCACGCCGCTTGTATTCAGCCGAAACATTACCACAACAGGAAACCAACTGCTCAAACATCTCAACTGCTGAGACCACAGGGCTGCTGTAACTCTGTATGTGACATGTTTGAGACATGACTGATGAACTTTCCGACAGATACAACCTTAAAGAGCTGGAGATGAAACACCTTTTCAGAGAAAGCCTTTCATTTGGGGCTTGTGATTGATTTTCAGTGTGAAGGCAAAGATTTAATTACATCCGGAACCACAGTCGTTATTCCCTCAAAGTCTTGGTATTTACACTTACACTAAGCAGCACCTGTATTATACCCAAGCTTGCTGGAAGCATAAAAACAGAGGTCAGATTGAGGCATTTTTAAAATGTCTTGCTGAAGGAAACCATTACAGGATTGTTCTTTGTGAACTATTTTATTCATCAAGGAAGCTTTCCATGTAAATTAAAATCTAATCTTCTCCTAAAATAGAACTTTTCTTGCATTCTGATGATAAATATCCCTAGAAGCAAAAGCACTGTACAAATGATTCACAGTTAATGAACTGTGCTTTACTTTTGAAGCTGAATTTCAAACCATATTCGCTCAAATTGATTTGAGCTCTAATGCACTGGTGGCTCCTCAATTCCTGCTTAAAAAGAGAAGTGACAAACTTGGCTTAGCCTCAGGTGAGCTTCAGGGGTCCTAAATTGCCCTTGGCAATTTAGGCTCTTCTTGCTCTTCAGGGACATTTATCCCTAATCCACAATCTCAGGCAATTAGAGTTCCACCATTACCTGATAATACGCAGTTTTGCTGCTTTCAGCAGCAATGGCTTGAAACCAAAGAAGAGGGGAACCCATCAGGCCAACCAGGTGAATTCTGAATTCCATTCAAGTTCTTCCTTAACGAAGGGTCTTAAAATAACCAGCCTCAAATAATTATTCCAGAATTTAAACACAAAATATACACAGGAAGATCAGAACCTAAGGAAATTAAGGCTTTAAATAAATCATTGTTCCATAACAATTATTGTATCTTGGAAAAACCACACCCGTCTCCTGGTGAGACAAATGGAGCATTAACACCAGCTACCTGCACACCACCGAGTTACCCTCCTACCTGCTGCCAGCCACCTGCTCATCCCCCCGCCACAGAGCTCCTGCAACACGGTGGCACCAGAGGCGCATGGCAGAAGTTCAATAAACTTGGTCTTTATCCAACAAATTTAAAGAGTCAAGGGATTCCTGTCTCAAACAGGGCTCAATCTAGGCTTTGAACCAACAATCTTGGCTGTTAAAATAGTGCATCAGCCTCCCGCTGACACACAGCAGCAACAGCACTCGCTGTATTACAGGGCATACAGAAACACATGCGAGTCTGTTGAGTACAGTGAGCTTATTTCAAATATGCATTTCACGATTATCTCTTTCCCCATTTCTTTGCCCAGAATAGCCTTCAGGAGTGACACATAAGCAAGGGTATAGTAAAACTATGGCAGCATTTCAATTCCGTAATATGATGAACAAGGGAGAGGATGTGCTATCTACCAAATGGAGAGCGCTACACCTCTCACAGCCAATCAATACTTTTCTCAAAGCTGTTTCTACTGGAAGCTTAAGCACATAGGTACTTTCTATTCAATTTTCAGTACCCAATACCAACCTGAATCAAAGTTCAGTCAAAGTAAACCTCTTATTAAGAGCGTTGAACAGCAAAGCTTATATCCACGTGAGCACATCTCATGCAATTAACACCTTGCTCACGTCCCAAAACTGGCCCCGTCCAACAGCTTTGCGGCTCATCAGCTCGGCTAAGCACAACCTCGCAGGGTGCTTAGGTGCCTGCCACCCCCAGCATCCCCACGTGTCCGCTGCTGCTTGCACCCTGGATGCTCTTGGATGAGCAGCAAAGCATGACCTGCTAGACGCTGAAGTGCTGCTTGCACCAGACGGATGAGCAATTGCATTTATCTAACATGAGAGGCAAGGCTGCAGCGCTTGCAAAATAACATTATTTCTGCAACTTGAACATAATCAATACATGAAAGCATAATCATTTTGAATTACTTTTTGTCATATTCCTACATAGTGCTACCAACATTTCCTAAACACGTTGAAGAACCCATTTTGGGTATGCAGAAATAAAAAGAGATGCCTACAACTAGAGCGCCAGCCTTGCAAAGATATAAGTGTAGGCAAAAATTCAATGATTTCAACATAAGTTCTCTGTGTTACTGTTTTGCTATCTCTAATCTTGAGAGCAACTAAAACAATGTTAGCTACTTCTCTTATCAGTGGAGCAAGTGAACATTCTCTGAAGAAAACAGGCAGTTTTAATATTTAAGATAAAGTTCTAAATTTAGAAGATAATTCTAACAATCATCTGTTTTTCATTTATGAATTAGTCATATCTCACAAAGAAGCAGTCTTTGGAAAAGAAAAGAAAAGAAAATTTCATTAAGAACAAAACTTGGGTAGTGTTAGAGCTGTCATGGATGATGGAATGGGTGGCTTCCTTCGTTTTCATTTACCATATAAACACATAAGGTACTTTACCATATACACACATAAGGTACTGCTGCCAGAGTTGCTTTCTGGAGGTGGCAAAAAACAGGGTTCTGACCATTTGAAGTCATTATAGACCTAAAAGTACTTTCTCAAAGCTAAAGGAAAACGGGCAAGTGCCAGATTTATGCCCAAAACCAAGGCAGGAAATAGCCACATGGAGACTTCCCAGGGCCCTTCCAGCAAAATGAAAAATCGAACACATTGAGCCTGTAGAGTAGGATAAGTTTTTAAGTAATTAAAAGCTTGATTTTTATTTTAGAATAAGACACACAGCAATCTAGTCATAGTCATACAGGAAGTCTCCTATATCAAGTCATACCACATGAAAGCTACACAAGCTAATAAAGCACACATTTCACTGACTGGCAAAGTGCACACAAGATGAAATCAATCTCAGAATTATCCTTATGAGTAACTGCATTTTTCCTGCAAAACACACTTGCCTGCTCAGTGTGCTTTCCAATCTGTGCAAGGCCTAATTGAACACAAATTTACCAATTGAATACTACTACTTTCAGTGCTTTTGCCTGAATAATCTTCATAGTCCATCCAAAAAGTTAAATTTGCTAACAGTCTTCTATTATGCGTAAACATCAAATTGATCAAGATGTGCCTCTCTGCCAGCATGCATTTTTTGTTCTCTTAGTTATCCCAAAGCATGTCCATTGGACCTCCATTCTTGAAAACAGATATATAAATTAAGGTATCACTTTAAAAGGGCCAAAAAGGAAACTTCTCCTTTGCTACAGCTTGATTTGAAAGAAGAACCTGGAAAAAAAAAACAAAAGTTTAAAGAATCATCATCTTAAGCATGCAGCAGATGTTCTGTATTTGTTTTTATGCTAGGACAATATTTGCACATTAGCAGCCTTTAATTCATTTTTAATGTGTAACTGTATATTAGAAAAAGAATGGCTCACTCACTGAGTCCCAGCATGTACCCATATTGCAGGCAACAAAACAGCTTTTAATTCACAGAACAATCTAATTTTTTATTTTAGATGATAGATATTTTTCCTGTTGTCTGAAATTGATCTGCAGTCTGCTGGAAATGATACTACAGTTAATGTGTTATGTTTATGCAGTGCTAAAAACACAAGGCACAGAGCTATGACAGTACATTTTTCCCCCACCAAAAAATGTGGTTTTTTTTCCTTAAAACAAAAACATTACATTGACTAGGCCATGCATTCTTCCCAGAAAGTTCAAACAAAGAAGTATAAACTGGTTGAAAGAACATAAACTATAAATTAGTTTTCTTTCTAAGAAGTCAGTATCAGAAAAGGCACAGTGCTGTGGGTTGCATTCTTCAAAACTATCACAAAAAAGTGAAAACTGAGATTATGAATAACTAAGGATTACTATTGGGCTATACGGAAAGATAATTTAAGTCTGGCAGTACAAAAACTTACTTTACCTGAAGATATTTAATAAGGCATATGAATGAAATTAAAAGCCTTACATCTGGAAAGAAAGGTTTTCTCACTAAGAAAGCGCAACATCTACTAATGTTCATCTGCTGAAAAACTAGTATTTCACAAAATGCTAAAC